AACTTTTTTATGATAAAAAAATAACGTTGAAGATTTTTGCGAAAATAACTCGTTAATGAAAAAATGTAGTTTTATTCTTGTCTTTGTTGTTATTTTATATCTGTTTAGGATTATAGTAACTTCAAACACAAACGCGATTGGCTAAAATGGTCCAACAGTTTTGTAATAAATTATAAAGAGAAAACAATTTATTACGTCGCAAGAAATGTTATTCAAAGTTTAAAAACCCTGCAACTGTAAAATGTATTAGATTTTTTTATGCCAGCTGTTATTATCGGATAACATTGTATTCTGATCAAATTGAATGATTTTTAGAGTGACGCCAAGCTCAATTTGTACGTAGGTACTACGAGGTCGATCTTCAACTACCACCATGATCGGTAAGTGCAGTCGACTGTCAACCGTCTTTGAGCTATTAGTGGGAATATTCAGAATATTCACTTACATGTTATGTTTTTTTTTATATAGTTATACTTTGGATTCTGAGCGGAATGAATTTAGTAGTTTTACAATCATGGGGATATTTTTTTTTTCGTCTTTTTATGTAAGAAAAAAAAAGTTCCGATCGTCAACTTTGAGGAAGATTTCTTGTAGCAAATTGAATCTAGATAGTATTTTTTTTTTTGGAATGGTGTGGGGTAAAAATAAAAAGTTTTTTTTTACAGGTGTACCTAGATAAAATTAGTTTTGGTCAAAAGTAGAAATTTCTTATAGTATTTTACAAAATAATCGAGAAAATCAAATAAAAAATTATGATAAAGCAAAAATATGTGTAAGGAAATCTAATTTTGGAAAAACTGATTTAGTTTCTTCTTGTAATTAAAAAACATATAATATCCATATTATAGAATTAACATTTCCATCAAATATTTATATTAACGTTAGATTTGATACAATTTTGAAAATGTTTTGATTTGTATTAAGTTATTTATAAGTATAGGTCCGGGAATAGGCGTTTTAAATTGTCTACCTTTTCAGATTTGTTTTACTTACCTATGTAATTAAAGTTAAAATTGTATTTGTAAGTTAAAATGTTTGCAATATTAACATTTTTTTCAGAAGTTTTTTATTAAAAAACACCAAAAATACATAATCACAAATTTTAATAAATTATTTTTATTAAATCGTAAAACCCACAAAAATTCTCAAACTATTTCGTAGTTGAAAACATAATATGTACACATTCAATTTTTAATTTTGTATAAAAGGTTTGAAAATGTAATGAAAGGTTTCTCATAAGTATTCCTTACAAAAATTAAACTAAAAATATAACATCTTTTTTTGAGCATTTGAATTTGAATTTTCAATAAAAATCTTTCTTGAATTATTTTGTAGACAAATAAGATACCAAAGAATCTCCACCGATAATTGTTTTTCATTGTATACAGTGATTTTTCATTGAATTCCAATTTCATATCCATTAAAATTGGTAGGGTAAATTCTACTTCTACTATACTAAAGAGCTGCAGAACTACCTTACTTTTTATTTTTTGGATCACATCGTTAAAATCTCGGTTAAAATGATAAATCAAAAACAAAAATTACAAAGAATGTTGTCATTAGAGCCATTGAATAATTTGTATTTATTGTAAGTTTTTTTAGGTCATTCAGATAAGTCAAATTTTAGTTATTTATTAAAGAGTTAGAGTAATAAATAATTTATAGAACTAAATTATTAATGTACATTGAACGATAGTATGTTTTAATACTAATGGCAAATTAATTAATTTTTATACGCGTGTCAAATGTCATCACGATAACACATGTGAAATGTACATATTAGGCCAAATACAATACACTGCAATACACATATTATAATAATTTTCAAGTACAAACTTAACAGTATTTTATTTAATTTCTTTGTATGAAACTATACAATTTATTTTTTGAAGCATTTAAATTGTATGTTTTTTAACATTTGCTATTTTAAAAGAATAAAAATTATTATTTCTTTAGATTTCAGTATAAATACCTCGATAAATATTAAGTTCCTCGGGGATTTAATAAAATATATTCTAAAATAATAAAATATCCGTTAAAAACCAGTTGTACGTATAAAAAAATCAAAGGTGATACGCGCCATAATATTGAGCTTATCCAACTTCAGTTTAAGGAGATTAAATACCCCAACGCAAACGTCTAGAACGACTCAGTTGTAGGTATACGTGATAATTTTTAAAACTGTGACTATGGTAATAATAAATAATTGCATATAAGTTTGCATGACATAGAATTGATTTCTATTTTGTCAGTAAGTTAAGTACTGTTGATTTATGAAATATCACACCATTGTACATGTATAATTGATAATTGATATTACTCTTTTAATTAACACACTGACGTACCCGCTAACACACTTCGTACCAACCTATACATAATATAGAAGTCATCACAATAAATTCCTTTGACGTCAATGAAAATCAAATATGAGTAAGTGCATGTATATTGTATGTATAATATATAACATACAATTAATACATATTATATAGGAACGTAAATATGCATGCAAATAAAATGTCTTTCTCGTGATACGATTCATGATTATTCAGATGCGTGTCGTGGCGTGGGCATATTGTATATTGTATATTATAATATACAAACGCATATTATGTATAAGTTTTTTAAGAGCTCTGCAGTCTGCAGACCTACTCTTTTAATACTTGGACGTGCATGTACAGGGGCCTGTGTTTAATGTCGTATATAAAACTTTTAATATTGTATGTCGGGGCATTGAGGGTAATCGTTTTAATAATTTCGAAAAACTTTTTTTTTAATCCCGAGCTATGCGCATTTTTTCTCTTTTTGAGAGATTCTTTCTGCACTATTATATTTTTCATTGCATAATGAGGAGTAGCGAGTATGACTTTTATTTTGAGTTATATAATAATATTATAAAGTCAATAATCTATTTTTTAGCATTAGACGTACGCCTGAAAAGTGGAAGACGAAAATTTTATGAAATATATTATATTATAATCTTTTAGGCGGTTCAATTATACATTATTATTATATTATTAGTTATTGCATTAAATAGTTAACATAAGTACGTAACATCATACAGATAATAGTATTATTGTTCGAGCACCATTCGGGGTAATAAATCGTCAAATTATACATTATGCTAAATATTAAGGAATACATATCGTTATTATCATAACATATTATAATAAACCTACAGATAATATTATATGGTACTTTATAACACCGCATTTGGGTAAATAACACATATTTAAGTAGGTATCAAATGATTTCGCAGAATGATAAAATGATGTATTTTATTATGTTGTTTAAATTATCAAGTTTATTTGTAGTGTTGTTAGTACTAATATTTTATTGTCATGCTGTATAAGAATGTGCTTTGACGAATCATAATACACGAAAACCCTTATTTTTCGCTTTTGACAAAATGTAACATGTGAGAAATTACGAAACGAGTGATAAATGACACGTACTGGTACTTAATTAATAATTATTATTATGTGTTACGTTACACATATTATAATAATGATTCAATTAGTCATCATTAGGTAGGTACTTTCAGTATATTGAAAATAAATAATTAATATTCGAAAATCGATCAATAAAATATTCTAGGTGAGTGACTAATGAAAGTTAAAAAAAAAAACGATTTACGTTCGAAAAAAAAATTGGTGTGTTTGTGGTCGGTATAATATATTTACCACTTTTTAAAAGGTTGTTACATTTGTAACGTACTTTATTAAATAAGTTATTGGGTAGCAGTCACGTTAGCAAGTTTGATAATAATAAATAATTATCTATAGGTATATCATTGGTACACCAATAACAATGGTTAACGAGTAATCGATATTCTAGTTTAGTGTTATTGAGGTAGTTACATGTTATTTCAGTCACATATTACTACCATATCAATAAAGTTAAAGAAATAAATGTAGTTTGTATGCCAAAAACATTTGGATTCCAACCATTCACAAACAATTCAACACTCCATCGATTACGATAAACCTTTTTTAAGGCTTGGAGATGTTTTAAATGTTGTGGTATAAATTCATGTACATAATATTATACCTAATTATTCAAATTTTCAAATTAAAATCAACTGTATAGTTAACTCCCATTAAACAAACATTTTCGAATTAAAAAGTTCCACTTTTTGCATAGATGTTATGTAATTGACTTTAATTTTAATTATATTATCATAGGTACTCTTATGCAGTTATACCTCACCAAACTATTATCGTATTGTGCATGGCAAACAGTTGGAACAAATATAATTCAGGCTTATACCTTTAGTTTATCGTTTTATCGATTATTTAGACATCGTTGAATATAGTTAGACATTTGTACGAATAACATAGACATAATTAATATGAGTATTAACTATGGTTTGAGTATAGGAACCTATTTATCTCATATTAAATCATATTACGTTTATGAATAAATGCCGATGATTAATATCCATACCTCGGTTGAAATAATTGATCATGGTTAATTAATATTACCGTTTTTCAGACACGCAACCAACATGTTATATTACCTATATTATTATTGTACCGTGGAATGTGTACTTGTTATAAGTATACAGATATAATTTGAAGCGATCGCGTCTACCCTAAAACCAACGATCACTAAACATAACTCGTCGTTGTAAAACCACTTCACGGACTATGATATGGAACTATTCTAAGGCCGTGTGTTAACCAATATTATAGCTTTCTACCGCTCGTAAACCATACATTGTATTCCGGAAAATTATACAGAAACAAGACGTTTCGTACAGTGCATTACGTGATTACCAAGTTGTTTGACCAACGTGTACCTCGGATTTTCCTAACCTAATCATTGTAATATAATGTTGTTATAGTTGTTGTAGGTATGTAAATACAATAAATTATAATTTATAATAGCGGCAGTAGACGTGTATGAAACTGTACATTCTCCACTAGGAACGTGTAAATAAGATAAGTGACCATCGCTAGGGAATCAGTAAATATTATAATATGTAACTTTGTGCATCCTACCTTGACATATCGCCTGGCACGTAATGCTTGAGAAACGGTCACCACGTATCCAGGGTAGGAGGTGATCATGACTCTACTCGCCAACTTCATAACTTTTTAGTAGGTATAAAACGCATTTGCGAACGACAACGCGAAAACGGTTAGTTCATGAACCTCAGCCAGAATTTCGACGCACTAAATAACACTACATATCGTAAAGGTAAAAACAAGAAAAAAAACGAAGAAATGCTAAAACTGTAGAAAATGGTCTAGAATTGGACGGCAAAAGCGAAAAACACGCCTGAGTGACAATGGTTATAAAACTAAAAACACCGACCAGTGGAAAATCGCATAATATGGTAACCCGCTCACCACAAGGACAGTAAACGAAGTCGGCAGTCTGACCGTAGAACCATAGAGTAAATTGCTATACAATATTAAATATAGAAGAGCTGTTTTTTTTCTGAAAAGTGAAGCCAACAACATAGACAACATTTACGGCTCCACCATTTCATACGGACTAATATATTGTACAGATTCAATCAGTTTAGCCAACCTGTCCGTTTATGATTTACTTATTGAACCATAATAATTATCGCCTTAATTCATAAATAAGTTTTTATTAGGAAGTTTTAATTGAATTGGTAAATGGTAATGTAATCAATAAATGCCAACAATGAATAATAAACAGTTCGAAATTCGAATTAGATATATTACTATCATGCGTTACAACAAATGGTTATCACTTTTTGATGTAATTTTCATCTCAAATCTAGTAAGGAAATATCTAGTTAATACATAGAATATTATATTTTGTTTTTGGCTTCAATTCGGTTTTAATAGTCGTAATAAGGAACGGCACCTCTATATATTATTCTATCCCGTAGAACATATTAATATTATTATGTTCTATGGTCGGACTGTGCGGGTTTAGAACCTCACGGGATATCGCCCGTGAGTTCAATAACAGTGAGCCATGAGGTTATAAATTATACAATGTTATATTAACCACGGTCGTGCTTACACCGTTAACCACGGTAAGCTCGATTGGACCGACCGCCGTACGGTTTACTTTTATAGAGCGGATTTACTGTGGTGTATAAATATATTCCGTTAGTTTTCATTTTATTAATTGTTAGTAAGACTAGGGACTTCACTGTTCAAAAAATGAATGCGTTTATGCTCTACGTAATATAAAAATATGCGAGAGCTATTTAATATGCACACAAATATGCATTAAATAAAATCGAAACATAAAATATTTTGTTCAGAGTAGTAATAATTAGTTTTGTAATAACATTGTACAAATAGAAGAACTAATTAATACTAACTGACTAAAGTATACTTTTACTACTCATACAATTATGAAACAAGTCTATGTATGTAAATAATATTGTAGTGGAGCTGAGCAGGTAAATTTAAAAAAATAAAGACTTTAATCGACATTTAAAGTGACTGCACAGTTTGTATCTATATGCTAATACTTTTTTTACTTCTACAAAATATATAGTGTGAGTGGTATCGATAATTATTATAGAAATAATATTATTCTTCATACTAAATGGTTTATCTACAACACATTTTTGAAGGTATATTTTTCAATTTTTTAGAAAAAATATATATAGATAATACTAATTTCAAAATGTCATCGAAATATGCACTAACATTTAAAAGAGTTAGATATATATAAAAATATGCAATGCCTATGAACTTCTAGGTACCTACTTAGCTTTATCATAAAATTAAATTTTTGATAATAATTAGAAGGAATGAGAAATCGTAAAGAAGAAAGTCTCTAACCCTATTTATTGGAATATCACAAGTCCCGTCGGCCATCAATGGTTGTCGCTATAATGGCCTACTCCAGATCTGTCTCGTCACCATCGCTATTCGGAACAACATTCTGTTTAACGTGCATTTCTACCTCAGAAATCTAGGATTTACATTGAAAATAAATTTCTTTGCCTTTTTCATATATTAGGTATTGGCCATAATACTTTATTGAAGATACGAGTATATGTATTCCAGTACATGAGTCAGAAATCTAAATTATACTTAGAAAACGGACATTATCAATATGTTTTGTTAGTTGTATTAAGCTGTTAGGAATATAACTATTTAGTACATCACATATTATTTTTCTTTCAGATTACAAAATCGGCTTAAAATATTATAATACGTCGAGTGAACCTGTGGTCATGGTAATAAGTAATAAAAGAATTATTGAGCTTACCGGAAAATCATTAACGTATAGACGTATAGTAGCGATAACTGATAAGTAGGTACAAGTCTCATTGAAATAGTCTCAATATCACCTTCACTCTCCATAGCGTTCGGTTAGACCCACCGTCCATGTTATGAAGAATACGTGCTAGGTTACTTGTGATGGTAATATAATATATTACACATCATATATAATATAATTCAAGCACGGACCTTGTAGGAATAACGACAAAAGTACACTATGGCTCTATAGAAATTATTTAGAACATGTATAATAAATGAATTAATTTTTGCAGAACAATCGATGTTTCGAGTACATGTAAAGTTTCATTATGTGTGCTGTGCATAATATATTTTAGAGGTTTTGAGAATCCAAGTAAAGCCTTGTTAAAAAAGTCACACCATACATAAAGTATAATAATTTAGTATTTTACATATCTTCGTATTATTCTTATTTATAGAGTCATGTGCACATCAAGTATTATATGCATTTTTAATAATTATAATGATAATAATAAATTGTAGTAAAATAATTTTCAACTTGTATTTTATTTTACCATTTAAAACTGCAGCTTTATAATTCTATAATTGTTAATAATGCTAATATACATACTTACCTAAAAAGAAAAATTTAATAATTAATAATTTTATAAAAAAAAAGTTATTGTCCAGTGTAAATAATTGTTTCAATAAATGTTTGAAATTTGTCAATATGATTTCTTTCCAATAATCAACTGGTTCTAATGTGCTTTGTCTTAGCCATAATAGTTTTTAAAATACAGCCAACTTTAACCTTAACTAATTGAACATATTTTTGAGTATTACATTTCACACAACTTGTGTGAATTAAAATGAACAATATTTAACTATGTAAAAAAAAATAGGTGCTAATTAAAACAACGGGTATAATCAGCAGTTTAATTTAATTTAATTGGCAAATAAATATAATTGCTAAACATACATAATTAAAATATTAATTATTTGTATAGAACAATGAAAATTATAAGGTTATATAACAGTCATTCCATAAAATGTCAATAATATTATTAATCATCTGTAATAGAAGGTATATAAGGGTTGTGACTTGCGTTATACATTTTATTACAGTAATTGCTGAGATGTAACTTATTATTTTTATAAAAAACAATTTTACTTACAATTTGTAGTTGAACGATAGTCTGTCAGAAAACTGTAGTGACTTAATCAATATTGAATTCCAACGGACTACCCATTAATTTGAAAATATGTTACATGCTGATATATTCCATGTATAAAGTGTGGACTGGTGATGTGCAATGTTGAAAATGTAATTTACTTGAAACATCGATTGTTCTGCAAAAATGAATTCATACAAATAAATAAACGTATAGGTATAAAAACTATTTAAATTAAAAATATTTTAAAAACAAAGTTTAAAAAAATGTGCTATCAATGCATTGAATAACGTGAGTTCATCATAAATTCATTAATGTACAATATTGTAGCATTAATTTGCAATGTACAAACTATTTTATTTACTCAAAATGCATGTGCAATGTTAATGCGCATATTATACATGTATACAGTGTATTCGAGTATAATACGTATAGTACTATATTGTTCAATTATTCTTACTCTGTGAATTGATATTTTATCCGAACGGATAAAACACTGCCTATGCAATAGTTACTTATTGGTTAAGGGTCAATTATAACCGTTAACAAATTTTGTTATTTGGTTACTAATTTACTATAACATTAAATTAATAATGTTGTGATATAGGAAATAATTTACAATCAGATAGGTAAGTACGTATAATATAATATTCCCATGTGGGCTTGACCGTTACGTTTGTAAATTTGTTCAGTACAATGGCCAACTAGGAACTGCGGTAAATAGTATTTATTATTACTGTAGAACTGCCGTATGTATTCAATTAATTGGAAACAATATTGAATCGGCTAATAGTTTTATAATGTTGCTATTATATCTTCAAATATTTCCCTGCATAACGTGATAGTTACCTAACTAACTCTCTAGCCGATGAAATTACAAGTAGTAGGTTTTCGTTTTTGTTTTTATAATGTTAACAAAACTTAAGGCATTCATTTTCTTATTGGATATTTTCTTTTGAAAATATGTTAATATGTTTTAATGTGATTTAAAAATTCATTTAAGTACCTACACAAAAATAAAAATAAGTTGAATGATCGACACCAGATCTTTTTTTTCCAAACAATTGTAGCTTTCTATAATAAATAACTACTTCCAGTTTCTACAAAATTTTAAATATTGAAAATATATTAAATCAAAATAATAAGCGGGTAACTACAGTTTGAAAAGGATATTAAATCATTTATCTTGAACTTTAGAGTGGCGGTAACATAATTTACCGATTTTCTTAGGGAAGCTGTAAGCAATTTACAGAACAAACAATCGAAAAGATTACATCCCGAGTTCATCATCTAAATCCCTACAACCTCCAAATTCCGGATCAAATGAAATTATTACTATACTACCTGCAATGGAACAATAATAGACACGTGTTCACTGATGTGTATATACGCATGATGGATCCAATTCAGGGATTGTTGTATAAATATATATTATAGATATTATATAAAATAAATATAACTAAATAATATAATAGCGTTGAGTTAAATGGTGCATAATATATTATATTCCTAATCGTTTTATAGGCACGTTAAATCTGCTAACAATGAAAGCACACGCGTGACAATGGATAAAGGTGCAAAAAATATTCAGTAGAACAGATGGAAAAAAGAAATAAAAATCGTATGGAGAATAAAGAATATGATATTATTATAAATATAATACAATACATCGTGTAATAAATACTCGGCAGTTTTTCATTGATTCTCTCTAACTAAAGAGAATACGGACACTTTCGAAATATCGATTATAATACATTACAATACTCCTATCGTATAATACGTAACTATATATATCTACTTGTATTATTCGTCCGGACGATAAACAATTTTTTAAATATTTTTTAGTACGAAAAAAGAGAAAGAATCCCTCTTCGTATACTATTTACCACGTGACACTTGTACGGTTGCCAATATAATAAATCATAAAGTTCTTACGACGTAGTTCTTTGCAACGAGATACAATGATAATATCACAGCGATGAAAACGAAGCTAAAAAAAGCTCCAATTATAAAAAACAAACAACCTATATCGGCAATATCTATAAATTATAACAGAATTCGGTAGGTACCTAAGTGTTAGTCTCTCGGAACCGTTTCATGCATAAATAGTAGGAAAACTCAGAAATCACTATTTTAGGTTTGCCAGAATTTTCAAAATCGTGTTAACGTTTTCTTTATTAATCATTATTTCTCAAGGATGATATTGTTTAAACATTAAATAAAGTATTTTTCATTTTTTTTTCTTTTTTAATTAATAATATCATCGACAACATGGGCCATGGGCTTACAGTGCAAAAATTATAAATTACAGAAATTACATAAATTGTATATATATATATATATATATAAGTTACATTACATTTTGGAAATAAGATTGGAGGCTGTGATGAATTGCATGATGTTGGTAATGGATTGAGGGTGATTGCATAGAGTTTCTGATACTGATTCGGGTAGGTTGTGGCTTGTTCGGGTACTGTCGAAGGTTCGGCATTCGGTTAGTATGTATTTG